AGGGAAATATTTTATGGAGAGAATTATTTGTTCAGATATGAAAGCCCCATCCCAAACAGGTATTTCCAAGGTGCACACAGACAGATGTATAAGATCCTGCTCAGCATAAGCATGTCCTGTTACTGAAACACACAAGCAGAGAGTCAGGCTTTGTGTTTAAGATGCCACGTTGCTGTGCTAATTCCTCAGCCTCCGTTTAAAGACTTTGTTGGAAAAATAATAATAATACTGGGACTTGCAAAATAAAGATTTAATAGTGTCAGTGGCTGAAATCCCACTCTGGCATGTCATCATTGCTTGGGAGTGAAATTTTTTGTGGTAGTTAGTATGCATCTGGGAATCCAATCTTGTATGCCGTATGAATATATTTTTTCTGACTATTGCTGTGTTAAGATCTGCCTCTTAAGTGAACCAGGGAGGGGGACTTGTGTGTGTTTTATTATAAATCATAATTAATGGGAATGAAAAATGAAGTAATAAATTAAGGAACAGCACGCTGCAATTCTTTTCTCTTCAGTGCGAATGAACGTTTTGGAACAAAGAATCTGTGCGCCAAAGGCTGGTTAATCAAAATCTGATCTCTTGAATACATTGAAACATTCCCTTCTCTGCTACTCCTATATGTTAAATATAAAGGAAAGTAGCTTAGGGAGGGGTAGTGAAGTCTGTGCACTGTGCTGGCTCTAATTGGGGAAGAGATCCTGGGCAGAGGAGAGAGCTACAAAGTGATTTTTACCAAGGGTTTGCTTAGCTGAGCTTCTAGCACATGGGGATGTTACTGGGCAGGGAATGGGATGCGATACTTATGAGGACTGAATAGAAAGGGGATGGCAGGGGAGCATGATGAAAGCAGTGAGGAAGCTGCATAGTTTAAATGCTGTCATGTTTGGCAGGGGAAAAGGGAAAGCTATTTCCTTTTTAATTTACCTGCTAGGTGGCTCCTAGAACCACCCTTTGATGCCTGTCTCTTCACTTCTCCTTCACCCAGGTATCCCACAGAAAAGTAAGGACAAAATTTTCCACTAAATGTTGATGTACAGTGAGTCCGTGAATAAGTTTGCCAAGTTTCTAACTGCACAAAACCAAAACCCCCTCCCACCCTCATCCGACCTCTTTCTTGATGTCCTGCCCCCGACTCATGCCATCCTCTCTCCCTCCATCCTGCTCTCCCTCACTTTCACTCACTCTCATAGGGCTTTGGCATGGGGTTGGGATTCAGTGGGGGGAGGGCTCCTGCTGAGCACGGGTGTGCTCTGGAGTGGGCTGGAGATGGGGGGGTTCAGGGTGCAGGAGAGGGTTCTAGGCTGGGATAGGGGATTGGGATGCAGGGGGGTGAGGACTCCAGCTGGGGGTGCAAGCTCTGGGGTGGGGCAGGGATGAGGAGTTTGGGATGAGGAGTTTGGAGTGCAGGAGGAGGTACAAGCTGTGCCTGGGAGGGTTTGGCTTGTAGGAGGGGGCTCAGAGCTGGGCAAGAGGTAGTGGGGGGGGTGTTTGGGGTGGGTTTCAGAAGGGAGTTCGGGTGCGGGAGGAGAATCCATGCTGGAGCAGGGGGTTGGAGTGCTGGGTCATGGTAGCTTTTACTACATCTCCTGAAACAGCCACCAGGTCCCTGTGATTCATATGTGCATGGTGGGCAGCCAGGGAGGTGCCACAATGCGCCCTCTTGCCCACAGCCATTGTCCCCAGCTACTATAGGTGGTTGTTCCCAGCTAGTGGGAGTGGCGGCACATGAGCCTAGGGGCCACAGGTACCTGGTGCCCACTTCTGGGAGTTACGTGGAGCCAGGGCAGGTAGGGAGCCTGCTTTATCCCCAGGCTCCCAACCTGAGCTGCCAAGGTCCTTCTTCAACTGGTCTTTCTGGTTGAAAACCAGCCTCCTGGCAAACCTATCTGTGAAGCTTCATGGGGTAGCTGAGTTAGCCTGTGATACAGGTATGTTTCTTTGCCATTCAGTGCCACAGAGTTTTAAAAAAATAGATAGAAAGGTTTTAATTTTTTAAATGTAATTAAAAACATTAAGATGTTTTTTAAATCTTTACCCTGCCAGGTTTGCAATGCAACAATTGAAGCACTTGGCTAGTGCAAGAGAACCAGAGAGTGCAACTGAACAGACACTGACTTTAAAACAAAGCTGAAGCAGACCAATCTGAATTCAAAATACCAAACTTAAAATGCAAACTACATATAGCAGGAAAAAAGGCATATTCTAAAAATGATTCATATCTATGGCATAATCTCACGAGGGAATTTTATTTTTAAAGATAACATTAGTATTTTTAAAAGACATGATAGCACAAACATTTAACAATTAAAATATTTAGCTACATGAGTAAAAGAGTCTGGAAGTTAGTCAGGTATTTAAATATGTAAATTCAAATTATAGCCTGTAGGAACATCTAATATTTTAATTGTGAAGACAAATCAAATCACTTAACATGTTTTGTTTACTAGACACATACATCTCAACCTCATTACAAAACCCACAGTGCCTTTATGTGTTCAGAGGAAATCCAGTGTGCCACTTTATTAGATAATTACCTTTTAATTTAAACATAAATACCAAGTGGAGGAGGGAATCTATTTTCTCTAAAGATTAAAATTGTATGTACAGTGACATCTCTGTAGAGACTTTCACTGTTCATATTACTTGAAATATTAATTATGATTACGCATTAAGTACTAGATCTACTGTCATTCATTTAAAAACAACAACACTGTATTCTGCAACTGTCCCCAAGACTGCAGTATAGTATTGTGGTAAGATGTGCTGTTTTGAGGTTTCTGAAAGAACCTGTAGTCCTTTATAGAAAACTGTGTACATGGCTACATTAATACTTTATCAGACTCCTATTAATGTTATTGGACTCCCTGATAAACTCCTCTTCCAGTTAAGGCACATTTTAATCTAATTTTTGCATATACAGGATGAGGCCCCCATTCTACAATTAACTTGGTAGGGGATGGGCCTTTCTTGATAAAGCTGAAGTCCTTGGGATCTGTATGGGTGCAGGGCTCTGCCTGCATATATCTGTGTGCAGAATCAAGTTAAGAACCTTCCCTGGAAGCTCTTGTAGTACTAAAACAACCGCAGTTAAATATAGTAAGAAACTCATTGATCAGACCCTTTGAAAACTTGCCTGTGCACAATTGGACAAACCTACTGATATTGATTTGGATTGTTAGACTGGCAGAGTCCATGAGATGAGGTTAAGCAGTTGTGGGTCTCATCTGAGATACAGTATACAGCGCGCAAAAAAAAGTGATTCAAATTGAACCAGTGTGCATGTCACACATGCTGCTGCTTGTCTGTAGTGGTAAGAAACTGAAGTCATAGGCCAGAAACCTCAAATCCAGGTGCTTAATGTTAGGAGGCCATGCTAAATCAATCATCAGACTTCTAACTGGAAATCACCTAATTTTCAGATATGCTTGGCACAGTGAGTAATTTGGCCCCCTGGGGACAATGGGAGACACAGGTGCTTAAAATCAGGCTACTTTTGATTAGTGGCCTTGTCAGGGCTGTTTCCCACTCTGGCATTCCAAGTGCAGAAGATGGGGGCTCACAAGAGACCTTAAATACCTTGCCTCTATAGGCTCTGCTTACAAAAACTCCCCAGAGTCACAGATTTGCTGACTTTGGGAGTAGCTGCCACCACCAAGTAGAACAAAAAAAAAACCCTTTCTTGTTGAACCCAGGAAGAAAGCAATTGGACTTCCTTCCCCAGGGTACCCCTAAGTTCCTCTGCCACAAGAAAAACGAAACAAAAGAAAACAAACTGTATCTCTGATAGCCAACCTCCCAGGGTAGGCAGGCACACCCAAGATCTCCTGTTACCTTACGGGACACAAGAATCAAATTATGGCCTTAAAAATATGATTTAATTAACAAAACAAAAGGATATACAGTAGACTTAAAATAATCCAGAACCTTTGGAACCTAGGTGGTGCCAGATTATTGGATATGCCGGACTATAAGGAGGTACTATAAACTGGTTATACTGTATATAAAGTGTTTTTAACCCTTTTTATTGTAGCACAAGCACTGTCCAGCATCACACAGTGCCAGTGGCGGACTGACTCGGTCCTGTCCAGTTTCGCTTGGTTCAGCTGCTGCCACTGCTGCCTTGTGACTTGTTTTTTGCCAAAGCTCACTTACTAGGCTCTTGCCATTTTGATGCTGGACTATTGGGAGTGCCGTGCAATTGGATGCCGGACTATTGGAGTTTTACTGTACTTGATAAAGCATACTTGGTTGCTAGGTGTTAGAGCAACTAAGAAAAGAACAGAGAAAAAACACAGAGAACCATAGTTCTGTGGGTTGTAACTTAAATGGTGAGTGGGGGAGGGAAGGCTTAGATTCACACAGAGAAATTTAACCAAACAACCAAAATAAAGTACCCTGATCGTGACTAGACACACTTTTTTCTTTCTACTTGCAATCCATAATGATCCGTACTTTAAGGCCCAGTTCACTCCCATGTCCAATATTTCCTTATAGGCATGGTAATTCTGATTATGGCACCTGCTCCCTTCAGCCCTTAATGTATAATTTTTCACAAAGAGAACAAGCAAGGATCTATATCCAATTCAAATTCCAGCACTGTATCCCCACTGGTTCTTCTGACCCCCTGCCAACACCTTTGCTAGCTACCAGACGTGCTAACTAGCACTCCTTCTATCCGTCACAGGCCTAAATATGGTTTTAAGAACATAACTTTAGGCACACGGGTATGAAATATGTTACTTGATGCTTTTCTTTAGTGGTGAGGGGAAAGGATGAATTGTGTTTTGGTAGATCCAAGCCCAGTATATTCCAAGTGCACTCTGCTCTTAGATCTTTACTAGGGCAGGTGAAATGGATGTTTAAGAAACAGAATCATTTCTAGGATTCCCTGGTATTTCTAGAAATCCCTCTCCTCAATTATGTAGCCCGTGTTCTTATTTGTTTGTTTTTTAATTCAGCCTTTGCTAACCTCTATTAATTTCCATTTTACTTTGTAGTAATACGTAGGAATCCATTTGGAATGGACATCTGTTGTCGGAAGGGGTCAAGAAGCCCGCTACAGGAATTGTATAATCCCACCCAGGTGAGTGTCCCAACATCACAGCCCAGCCAATAAACATAGCCTGAATTTACTTGCAAAGCTTTTGGTTTTCCTCCTCCCTATCATAATCACATTCCTCTTTGGGTGGGGGTGAGGTGGACTCTGGGATCTGCACAGCTAAACCACAAGCTTCTACAGCTTGAGCTAAAGGATGATGTCTTCTACCTGGAAGCTGTAGCGGCGTTTTGTCCTCTGCAGATCAGATTACTGAGAGTTACAATGGCACGGCTGTAATACTTTTTTGTCTTATGTTTACAATGGGGATGGACTTCCAGCTAGCCCAGAGGGCTTTCCAATCAAAGGTGGGTTGCAGGTATACTATCCAAGCAAGCTGAATATTTTACAGAGAGGCAGACCTTGATACCCTTACGTTTACTGCTATGCTATGCACTGATTAATTGCCACTGAAATCATAGAGACTACTTATCAGGGAAGAGACTACTCAATGTGACTAATGAAAGCCTGAGTCGTTTTCACTGTGATTCAAAAAAGCATCTTAACATCAGGTCTCTAATTTCTGCTGCTGCTACCTTATTCCTCATGTGTGTGCTGAATTAGCTTGTTCAAGCACAGCACTTCCTGGTGGCAATTCAGAGAAAGTGCTGCCCTTGAGAGAAAATGGCAGCTGACTTTTAAACATATTTATTAAGGTTTAATAGCTGCCTATTATATATTTATGTCTCAGTTAATACATTTTGTAAATCTTCATTAAGTTATTAAGGAAAGTGACTATCCTAATAAATCTAACTCATTAGATTTAAGAAGGCAGTAAATGCTTTAAATACTAGTTGATTATGAGAAGAATTGCTTTACAGTGCTCACAATAAATGCCAAGTGATTTTTACACATTTATAAGTATTGTCAACAATCTAAAGATGCAATATCTAATATGCAGAGGAGTAAAGTGCAGGCATGCAATAATTTTGTATTTATTAGCATGTATTAATTTCCTAATTAAATCTCAGTTCTACATGTAGCGGAGAACACTGAATTACCCATTTTTGTGATAACACTTGATACAAGCAATGTACAGTCCATGTTGCTAAATGGAAAGTGCAACTTCAACAGGAACAGACATGCTGCTGCACAGGAAAAATAATAAAACCTTGAAATGCTTTTAAACAGAGCAAAAGAGAAGAAAGTTTTGTCTGTTGTGACTAGGGTCTACTGTGCATCAAGTGAATTCTCCTTGCCATTTAAGAGTCCCATTGCCAAAGGTCATCCCATATGAAAAGAACCGAGGAAATATCTCATAGGGTGTTAATCTCAGACGCCTTGCAAACTTGGTGAACTAAAGGCTTTCTAACATTTTGCAAACAGTGAGCCCAGCTGGCAGCTCCCTTAATGCTCTTCCCTTCCTTTCTTCCTCTTGCTCAAGTATTCAGTAAAGCATTAGAATTCCTTCTCAATCTCTCTTGTGGAGGGAGCCAGAAAATTCAGTGTTTGAATAAGTACAGCATTTCTCGCAGCCAGTGTTGAACGAGGCAGATGATTTTTTTTCACACACACAATTTCCATCAGTATACTGGCATCTTCTGTTCTTAGCACATTTTAAAAAAAGGTAGAATATTCAGCTGCTTTTGGGACTGCATTTTATATGCAGCCCAGTTTTCCATTCAACACTTTACCGTTAATATGCAAATGTGTATATTTCAGGGAAATCATAACGAGACAGTGGCTGGAGGGGGAGATATTAATGACAAGTTGATTTGGGGATCTCCACTGAAATATTTATTTCATTGATTTCTCTCCCCCACCCTCCCATTCAGTCACACACATTCTTCTTTATGAGATGGGGGGAAAAACCTAACTACTACCTGCAAGCTAGCAGGATAAGAGGACAGATCATGGTTTGGAGCAGTGTTTCTCAAGTTGAGTCAGAATCTTCCCAGGAGGTCACCAACAGTGGTCAGGGGAATTATGAGCATACTCTTACACTTTCTCTCCAATTTTCTCAGAGATCAGCGAGTTGCAACATACCACTCAGTAGTGAAGATAGTTAGGGGATGAGCCAACGAGACAATTTTGGCCAAGGACAGCAAAACAAATCTCATTCTGTTATGAAAAAATGCTGTTGGATGTTTCATATTGTCTGGGCATATCATAAAGCATTGTAGGAGTTAAAAAGCTCATTCTAAAGGTGACATGCACTTGCGTACAAAACCATAGTAATCTGTTTGGTATTCAGTTTAGCTACCTTTTATAAGATGAAGGACTGCTGGTACATGTAGCTCCAAGGAGGCTCCGTAATTCAAACACCAGAGTAAATGGCTGAGAGAGCCCTGTAGCATTCCGGCTTTGGATTGCTACAGGCTGCAATTCTTTCAACATATGCAACTTTAAATATTTAATTTGTCCAACTGCATGTTTTTATTAGAACTGCATGTTCTAATAATAAGAGAAACCTATTGGTTAGTTTGCCACCCTCACCTACAGAATGCTAACACGCAGCTTTCAAAACTGTCCAGCCTCGTCATCTGTTAGCTAATGTAGTACCTGCTTATCTGTTAGACCTGCTATTATTGTATCTAGAACTGCTTTCAGAGTTGATGCAAATGCTGCCATCAGTGGAAACAGAAGCCGGATTGAACCCTATGAATAAGAGCAATAATTTTACTATTGGATTTAGATAGCACCATAATCCTAAGAGAGTAATATTCTTGTGGCTAATACAATCATGCCATTCTGAAGAAAGTGTTCTTGTTATGTTTGGCACAGAGATTTCCCTGTATTCATAAAGTTTGATGGTGATGAACTGATGTACACCAGCTGAAGGTCTGGTCTGTAGTATCTGCTATACAAATACATGCCAGTGTATTGAGTTTGCTCCCTTCTTTGATGGAGTTGCTAGAAGATGCTGTGTTTTCTGTTGAATCCCTTGGTTGGATAAATTATTTTTACAGTCATTTAACTTCACTTTTATCTTACTGGTTCAAATCCAGAGGAAATCAAACTTTGTTTTTTGTCTAATGTATATCCAGTGACCTACATGCACAGGGTTGAGAAGTTTCAGTCCAGTTCTCAGTGGATAGATGCCCTCATTGCAAAAGATCCCCAACAAATCTGGGTGTCATTGACATCCCTAAAAACAGCCTCTCAAGAGAAGTGAAAAAATTAATGGCTATTGAGTGCAATTCTCTGCTCAGCAGAAGGGCCAGCACAATGTCCTTGAAACATTTAAATCCCACTTACTTAAATGAGTGCATAGCCTTGTACTGGCCCTACTGAGTAACCCCGTGGATTGGAAGTTCCTTCCTTCCTTCCTTTTCAATAGAATGGGCGATTCTGTCACATGGCTTCAAAGGGAAAAGGGAGAGGTTCCAGCTTGAGGTGACTTGTGATATTGTATACTTCTGTAGGAAGTCTGTGCCATTGTGCAACGCAGAATTTGTGCAGAAACTCATGTTCTGCACAGAATTTCCTCCTTCCACTCTCCCAGAGACTGGCTGCAAAGCTGCTTGGTGCCACTAGAGGCTGCTATACCTTGCAGAGCCCCGCTTCTAAATAAAATGGGTCTACTGGAGGGGAATGGAGCTGGAGGGTACTGGGAAGCTGCAGTTCTGACCCATCCTGAAGGAAGGAGGCAGCCGCATGCAGTAAAATTCCCACAAGCTCAGATTGTTTCTTCCTCTGGATCCCTGGGCTCTGGAGGATAGGAGGTGTGTGGTTTTTTTTGGGCTGGGAGGTGCCTTGTGGCTGGGTTCTGGGGACGGGACAGAGAAACAGGCACTGAGTTGTCCTAGGGGTTGAATTCTCTACTCCCAGGGAATTGTTTTTGTTTTTATCTTTACAAACATAGTTGCTGGCCTGTATTTTGAGATCAATTATCACAATAATTGAAACTGGCATGATTATATAGTGGTGTTTTGGCAAATAAAATAGGCAGAATTTTAAAGTATTGTGTGTAAAATTAATTTTTTTAATGTAGAATTCCCCCAGAAGTAAGTTGCTGTACTATGGGGGTATGTGGGCAGGATTGGAAACACAGGCATAATTGAACATGGACTAAGTGCAGGGCTGTCCTATGGCACCAAATTTTTAGGTGCCTCTGCGCAGCCATGTGCTTGTATACCCGCAGCTGCTGCAGGGCTTCCCTGCCCTTTCCCCCATGTGTTCCTCTCGGCCATCAGAGGGCTTGCTGCAGCCAGACTCCAGGCAGAGAGGAGCCCCCAGCCTCTGCAGCTCTGCTCTGGCCCCAGGGAAGCCCTTGAGTCTTAGTAAGCTGTGGGGTGGGGAAGGGAGAGATGCCCCAGGCAGGAGCTGCATGGGGTGGGACTGCTCAGTTGCTTAGGGCCCCAGATTTTTGTGAGGAGGGCCCCGACTAAGAGTCTTCTGTAAATGCAGCAGAAACTCATTTGGTAGAGTTTTCCTTGTATTTCAAACCTCAGGAAAACATAGGTAAACAAATATTTGCAAAGCATATTCTTAGAAAAATGCCACATGCCACAGTGTCTTGTAATTACATGACTTTGTACAGCCCCGCTGCTCTAAAAATAACAGTTAATTGCGGATCAGCCCATTGAGCTCAAGTCACCGAAAGTTCAAAATGAGCCAACAGCATGTTTGAGCTTGAGTACATCAGTGGGCGACACTGATCCGTTCAGCCCAGCTGAAAAAAATACCGACTTCTGAGTAATTAATAGCTAAAATGGACAAAGTGTTAAATGAGGGTAAATGCAAAACGGGGCCTTGACCCTGCACTTCCGCGCAGGTGAAATTCATACTGCATGTTAAAGGCGTTTGGCCTGCATATTGTCTCATCCTTCTATCTGGCATTTGATCCTTATTTCTCACCTTCAAAGAAGAGCCCTGGGTCTACATAGAGGCTGTAGGAAATGATATTGGAAATTTTACATGCTTCAATTTCTAACTTTAGATTTTCTGACCTTTTATTTGATCATGGGTCAAACCTTCTGTGATTTATTTTGTCTTTTGAAAAGTTATGTCCATCCTCTGAAGAGTTGCTAGAAGGTTATGTCTTG